TAACCTTGGTGAACGAGGGAACATCGCAAACATAGAAAATAAATATCTTGCAACATGACAGGCAACATAAGTGCCCATACATGAGTGTCCAAAACAGCAAGTTTGAGCCAATTCCTGAAACCTTGAATAATTCGACTGCGACCGCCATCCCATATACTGACTAGGGCTCTTGGTTCTTCTGAAAGGCTTGGTTGGAAGTTTTCCGTGTTTTGGTTTGTTTGTGCAACCACGGGTCCCGACAATGAAAATGCAAAAGAAGAACTCGAGGAGGATTTTGTTGATAAGGATGAAGATGATGAGGATGACGATGATGAGGATGAAGATGATGAGGATGATGAAGATGAAGACGATGAAGAGGTAGAGTCAGATCCTCGTTCGACATGCTCAGAATCAACAGATGTGGATGTACTTGCCGAATCAAATGAATTCCTACTCTCTGCCGCAGACAGATTGCTGAAAAATAAGCCATGTAGGCCGGCAATCCATAGGGGAAAGTACACAGTCAAAACTTCCTTCGAAGCACCATGCGCCTCTTCAACGCACTCCAAAATGTCGAAAATGTCCGCAGCCATTACAAGGTTTCTAACGACCAAATTAGGCAGCTGTTCGCTGTTGAAAATATATGCTGGCGATGTCGAGCAGATTAAAGATAAACAGAGAAATGGAAGTAGTTGTGTGAAGCGCAGCACAATCCTTATCGTGGTGTCATCTTTCAGCTAAAAATAGCAGAATATGGATCTCGAGGGCATTGGCATTGCGGCAAGAATATATAGCATATCACATGAAAATGATAAGTCAGAGTTTGAAACGAGTCCTTAATTACAAAAAATACATTGGGTGAGCTGTAATATAGATAGATCATGAGACATAATCCAAAACAGTTGGTCGCCCAAGGATTCCGACTGTTTAATGCAATACTGCTCAAATGCATCAAAGACCTCGCTTGGGCAGAAAAATATTTACTTTGCATTGTGCATTTAGCAAAATGGAAGGCGATGTCTTTTCAAAGTAAAAGGACGCCTGTTGGGGATAAAGTTGAGATCTTGCGAACTTCTAAGAAACCGACATGAAGAAAAAGCCTAAAATTTGACAAAAATCGTAGGCTATACTGTTCCCCTAACGCTACAGTTAAGCCATACCTTAACCCTGACATTTACGCTGACACGCATCTTCGAATAATTTCGATTAATTTTGAAAACAGGCCCTATTCATTCATCTTGACTTTACTTATAACATGTCCAATATGTTGTTCTTCTGTTTCCATGTGATAGAGAAAAGCTTACCTATAGGCATTTTATATTGCGCGAAACCTCTTTGGTTTTAGTAATTATCACAGTTTACGAAGGATTGTAAAACATACCGGCGTACAAAAGTTTAGCATTTTTGAAAAAAAATGCTTCAATTGTAATGGTTAAGAAAAAAACTACATTTCAGTATACTTTTAGTGATTTAGCATAAAGCGTTTGTAAAAATTTGCAATGGGTGTTAAAATTACATTTGGGACAGTTTACGCCTGTTTCTAGATTGTCAAGTTAAACAACCATCCATGGAAAGGTTTAATAATTATATGACTAATATTGAAAGTGGCCTGTAAGAAGACTTTGTTGAAAGCTAGCATCCTGACAAACTTATACCTCACGAGATTACACGGTTGCATATGTTGGAAGAAATAGTTATAATCGCGGGATAGCATGTCCAATGTATGCATAACCTACTGGTCAGGTTCTCGGATAAGTAAAGCTTTGTCAGCGAATTAAATAAAACTGACGCATGTTGTACGGTTATTCGAAATGTAGGACACAACTGCATCAAATTGAACAGGCCATAGTAAAGAGGATATGAAATTCATTGAAACGTGCTAAGTAGGTTGGAAAACCAAATCGTCTTGGGTTTGA